CCCCCCCCCCCCCCCCCCCACCCCTCCCCCCTGCCCTGTGGATTTGCCAGTGTAACTAGTATGTTTCAGTTTTGTAAACGGTGTTCGTGGTCCAAAAACGTGGTTTTATATACTTCCGGATGCAATAAGACTGGAAGGTTTATGTGTTGCGGTGACAGTAAAGCATGCGCAAAACGATTTGGTTATTGTTGATGACTTCGAAAGTTTACCGAAAGGTGATGCACAATTCATGCACGATCTGGCCGACATCAGAAATTGGGGTTATTCGGTGCTCTTCGTTCACGACAGCTCCGAGGTGAGCACTGCTTGAGCGTACGAGTTAAAATAAGTGAAATTTTAAAAAAGTTTCAATAAAGTAAAAGGCAGTACGGGCCTCAAAGGCTCTGTGAGGGTATGTAAGAGGGTGGTAACCAAGGCCAAGAACAGCGGCCCATTCAGCGAAGGGTAGCGACCGGCAGGGTCGCACCAACCATACATGCAGTAGGAATAACCACTTTTGGGCCATTGTCCTACCCCTGGTTATTCCTACTGCATGTATGGTTGGTGCGACCACAAAACGATTTGGTTATTGTAATACCCCTGAGCACTTTTTTTAGTTGAGATTCTTATCAAAACACGGGAGGAATCCACCATACTTCCTCTGTTACCAAACCATCCATCATCGGTCCTTATCCGTTTATGCTTCTCAAAGAAGAGTTAATTTTTAGAACGCGCTTGTAGCTGCAGGGCTAAGCATGACTTGTCCATCTGATTTTGCTGCTATGATCGCGACAGTATTCCCAGCATTCGTTCATACCTGTTCGGCCGTTTTTTTAATGGAAATATAGCAGAAAGTATAGTAAAACTTGTTTGGCCAAAAATGGTGAAAAAGTACGGTAAAAAAAAGTATGGTAAAAAAGTATAGTAAGAAAAATAAGGTAAAACTTGTGCATACCGTGATTATGCGTACGCAAAGTTTTTTAACTGCAGGTCCCAGAAAATTTGGCACAAGCATGCGAACAGATTCCATCATTCAACGTGATGCCTGTCTACGGGCTCAACTGTTTCAGTCTCATCAAGCACGACACAGTGGTTTTCTCACTGCCAGCACTAAATCTCTTCCAATCCAGAATTTTGTATCACAAAAACCGAGCTACCAGCTTGCAGAGGAAGTATCGTTATGCGGATTATAAGAGGACCATTTTATGCGAAGCTGAAAAAGAAGTTGACCCAATACATGTGCCATTCATTTAGTTGTAACAGCTCGGTTTTTATTCTTTTCCGTATGTATGCCAAATGCAATAATTGGCCAACTCACGGGCTACCCGTGCCAAGATGCGTTTTTTGCATAGCTCCCCGCAGATTTTTGTCGCTAACGGCACTGTCTTTTCGGGCAGATACCTCTGGCTGAAAGAATTTCAGACTGGCCGCCAGGACTGTCAGGAAACATTCCTTCAAAATTCCTGTCTTCTAGCTTCTCACGTTCCCGAGTTAGCAACTTACTCGAAAAAAAATTTCACAGACCCATATGTAAGAATGACTCATATTTGGGGGCTAGGTATGAGCTCATTAATACCTACGTGAAAGGAGAACATCCCTTTAAAATTGCACTTTCTTACTTTTCAGGTTCCCGAGTTAGCAACTTACCTGAGAAAAACTTTCACGGGCTCGCACGTGGGTATAATGCATATTCGAGAGATGCGTTTGAACTTAATGATACCTATTTGCATGAGGAACATCATTTTAAAATTTCAACCTTCTAGCTTCTCAGCTCCCCGAGTTAGCTATTTACCCGGAGGAAACTTTGACGGGCCCGTACATGCGTACCACACATATCCGGAGTCTGGGTTTGAGCTCAGTGAGACTTACGTGAGCGAGGAACATCCCCTTAAAATCTCAGCTTTCTGGCTTTTCTGTTTCGCGAGTTAGCGACACCCGCAAAAAACTTTCACGGGCCCGTACGTGGATACCACGCGAGTGAGAGCGCCCATTTTGGGAATGGGGCCCGTACGTGCATGTAGATTAAGTTTCCAAATTTTCAGCCCTGTAGCTTTTGTAGGCTTTGAGATGAAAAACCGTGACAGATGCACATACAGATACATACAGACAACCCCTCGTCAATATGCGTTTTCTGCATTGCATAGCTGCAAAAAACGCACAAAAGCCAGGAAAACTAGAAAGCTGAAAATTTACGAGAATATGTGTTCACTTCATGTGCGACCCTCTTGTTTCAATATCGTTATTCACACACGCCTGGCCCCCACGTGCGGACTCTTGAAAAATACGTAAGTTTCCTGGCGAGAAAGTGAGCTTAAGAATCAGGCAAGATGGAAAGCTGAAGTTTTGAAGGAATCTTCCCTGTCTAGGTACAACTTAAAGATTTTAAATCTAACTCTCAGGCATGCGTGGTTCTCACGTGCAGGAATGTAGAAATTTTGGCTGAAAAATTGCTCACTGAATAGCTCCATTTACAAATTAATCAATGTGAGGCAGCTCAGTAGCTGGGCCACCGCCAGTTAGTGTTCGCCGTTTGTTCAATGTAAATCACGTCTTCGAGTGGCGCACAAATGGTCATATTTTTCCGGCAATACCGCTTGCTAATATTCGATATTCATTAGCTGTTAGCAAGCTTACTCATCGATTTCGACTTTTTTCGGTTGGTCGCTACGATATCCATGCATGTCACTTATCCGATGGAGCGTCTGATTGTTTGCATGACTGGGAAGAAACAATAGCATCTTTCGGTCCATTGTTTTGTGCCGCGAACAGCGCGTGTTCTTCATGACTCATCAGTAACCACGTTTCGCATCCATACGTCGCTGTTTCCAGCATACTTGCACTGAAGAGGCAGGCGCATGTCTTCAGTTTTAAGATACAACGACATTATAAAGCTTGAGCAAGCTAGCAGCCATCCTACGTGTACAGAGAGCTAATGAAAAGGCGCAGAAAAAAGGCAAAACGACCCAGAAGCGAACTGAAGCAACATTTTTCAACTCCCAGTGATCTTTCCCTCCCGATGTGATGGGTATAAAAGCATGTGATTTTGTTGTAGTTTTCAGTAAACGCCTTTTTTCGCGCGCAGCTGTGGTACTGAGTTTCGTCCGTCGACCTCTGCCCAAAATGTCGTCAGTTTTCATCTTGTTCGCAATGTCGTCAGTTTTCGTCTTGTTCGGCAAATTTGTGTTTGATTTGCTCAGAGTCTCAACAGAAACAGCCAGCATCAGCATCGTCCGGTCTCGTCTGCCTTCACGCCTAATTAACCGGCCAAGCTACACGTAACATGGGAACTAAGCCAGCTGGCTCACGGTTGTGAAGCGTTTCAGGAGAGCGAAGAGGTCGATTGAGGCATGGAGAAATCGACGACAGTCCGCCAATAGAAGAGCCGGAGAATTGGACAGGCAGGAAAATGAGGAGTTCGGAGCTGCTAGCGCGAGACCGGTAGCTGCACTGTGACCTATGTAACCCTATAATTACACCTTTTTCCTTCCACTAATTCTTAGAAATGTACGCCAGAAAAAGAAGTTGGGCTGGTCATGTAGCAAGGGTGTCAGACAACCGATGGATGAAGCGGATAATGGAGTGGTACTCACGCGCGATGAAACGAACACTGGGGAGGCCCTAGCACGATGGCGAGAACCAATCGTGCGCCTTTATGGTGTCACCTGGTCTCGTCAGGCTCAGGATCGATCGAAATGGAGAAGT